GGATTACTGTTAATTTATTATGCTGATCTGTTCTATACGACATCTATTGCACGTCTGTCCGTCCTGGAAGAGGGATCCCTCCTCAGTTGCTCTTCCTGAGGTTTCTACCATTTTTTTTCCCCGTTAAAGGGTTTTTTTTGGGGAGTTTTTCTTTATCCGCTGTGAGGGTCCAAAGGACAGAGGGATGTTGTATGCTGTAAAGCCCTGTGAGGCAAATTGTGATTTGTGATATCGGGCTTTACAAATAAAATTGATTGATTGATTGAAGTATTCATAGGGTTTTTTCAGCTTTTTGCTCCTGAAACCTGGCACCTCTTCGCCTTCACAAGTGCATCAGTGTGCAAAGTCATCCAGTGGGCCAAACTGGACCCTTTGGCAGGCCAGTTCTTGCCTGCAGGCTGTATTTTGACACCCCTTATCTAGAAGGCAACAGCATAACTCTGTCTTCATTTATAAGACGACCTAAGTTGCTGAGATGTTGAACATCCTTGAGTTCAGAGCTGATAACCATGACACCAGATAACAGGTGAGGATGGTTTTAAAAGGTCCTCATACTCTACTATAATACTTATACTGCTTTCTGGTACTGAGCACCTCACTACAGGTTAAACAGGCAACACAGCAGGAAGTTAGAGACATTCAGTCCTCTGAGGGACTATCCTATATTTCTAATAATATTTGTGGTTGTTTTAATTAGTGTGGCTGTATGTGTGGTTTTGTGTGAGTGTCTGTCACTTGTTCTCTGGTCTCTCTTTCAAAAGAGAACCTGATCTCAATGAGATTTCCTGAATGAATAAATATGAACTAACTACTAACCTAATCTGTCTTTCTCAGCTTGTCCTCCTTTAGTATTCCCTTCTTCTAGCTTCAGTCTCCTTCATTCTACAATAAATTTTTTTAGAATTGACTGTGGTCCTTCTTCACATTTCTCTGTCACTGACATAGTGGATGATCATACAGCTGATCATGTGGCCTTACCTGTCCATTCAGGTTGAAGTAGGAGTGATTGGTGAGGTTGATAGGGGTGGTTTTTGTAGACCACGCTTGGTATTCAACAGTTAGTGTTTCCCCCTGCAAACACAACTCCAATGTTACTGAACTGGCCTCTGAAAAAACATTTGTCTACATGCAAAATCATTTCAATGTCTGAGCTGCAAAACTGGATTTTTAAGTATTAAAGAAGTACTTCACTGCTGGAAAGATGCTCTTCTCATAAAATGAGGCTGACTATGCAGTAGAAAGACACACATGCTTTTGAAATTGTTGCTACATTACCAGAGAAAACAGAGAAAAGGGCTGTGGTATTTGCTTTTGCTCAAGAGGTAGAAAACCTATGCAACTACCACAATGTACTGCACTGCATCTGACCAAGAATAGCTCCCACTAGTGGGTGAAATAAAGCAGCTTTGCCTTTTTCACACAGAAAACAATACGGCGGTCAGCTGGTATCAATCTTGATTAGCATATGTTGATCTAGCATATGTTTCTGAAAACATTTAAGATGAGAAAAAGGAAATGCAGTAACAGAATCTTGGTTCATATTTGATCAGCGCTGCTTAGTTTTACCGTTTGATGTCAGTATTTTCAGCCTCGGTGATCACAATACAAGAAACAGTTTGGTGCCCCCTTCTTGTTCACAAATGCTTGTATTAAAGCCAAACAGTGCACTAAAATATGATTCTAAGACATTTTCGGAGAGACACAGGCAACACAGTGATAGAAGATTGATGGAGTTTCCATGGTGCCGGGCATATGAAAATACAGAGCATTTTTGAAATTCAGTGGAACAACTAACAACCAAGTCAAAAAGTCCTCTTCCTAATTTTATGACAAATACTGTAATGACTCAACATCTATCAAATTTGTGACCTTTTACATCCAAGGTTGTTTAGTTTTACCTAAAGCTGTTTGGTTTCCAGAGCTCTGTGCTGACCAACAGGTGGTACAGCACTCATGTCAGTCAGATCATACCAGCCAAAGGCAAATCTCAGTTGATGAACAGAATTTTTTTTTTTCGATGCTTCAAGTGTGAGCAGCTTCAAAGGTGTGAAGTTATGAATAGGTGTGCTTACCTGTAGGGTGTAGGAGACAGAGACCTGAACCTCCCCAGGATAACCCTGGTCTCCATCTGGACTAGTGTGACTCAGCTGTACACCACCTTCCACTGCTGACGCAAGCCAGATAGCCTGAAGAAACAAATATACAATGTTATACAGTATATACATACAGGATTAAAAAGTGAAAGTAGTCTTTGTTACAGAAGATTAATAACAGGTCACATGGAATAAAAGACAACACTTACAGGAAGCACACAGGTAGATATGTCTCGTAGAGTGATGGTGTTAGGAAAAATACTTGTGTATATTCAGTGGATAAATAACTCTCCAGGCTTCACCAGTCTGACTGAGAAAAATCAAGTGGTTATAAACCGATCGGCCAAAACATTAAAACCACTGACAGGTGAAGTGAATAATATTGATCATCTCGTTATAATGTAATATTTCGCTGGGAAACTTTGGTACTGGCATTCATATGGATGCCACTTTACCCCCGTATTGTGCTAGAAAGTCTCTTTCCTCTTGTGTTAGCAGGTCGAATTTGACCATTTTTACACTCAAAAACCTAATATGGAGTTTTACCTCATAAGGAACTTGTTATCTATTAATAACTACAAAATCTACATTTATTTTTTTGTGGTCCAAAGGCCACATTTTGCTAGCTGTTAAAATAAGCCAAAAATAAGGTCAAATCTGACCCACAGTCGGGGCGTCGGTAGAGGAGCCGCCCCATGTACAAGGCTGTTGCCGCAAGCGGCCTGGGTTTGAGTCCAGCCTGTGGCCCTTTGCTGCATGTCATCCCCCCTCTCTCTCCCCCTTTCAAAACTTACCTGTCCTGTCCATTAAAGGCAAAATGCCCTAAAAAATATCTTTAAAAAAACAATCTGACCCACAGTGAATATTGGTTTTTAATAATATGGCATGCAGCAGTAAAACAATGTTGGCAGTTTTGTGGATTAAATCCAAACTAAAGTTAGAGTAAAACTTTACCCATAGAAGCTCGTAGACTCTTTACTATTTTCTGCTGAGTCAGATATGATTGAAACACCACAGATGTAGCAACTTCTTTGAAGACCTCCAAACTAATAAAATGCTAACTACTGGTTTTGTTGTGTGTACATAGCTATTTTAAATCCCTGTTCCAATAAAAACTAGATAATATTTATGACATATTTTAACTTGAAACTGGTGAAATTTGACCTGAACACAGTAAACACACTCCACTCACCAAAACACCACAGACCAAGTACACCCCCTCATGGCATCACAACTCACTGATGACAGTGACCCTCCCAGCAGGGTAATGCACCATGTCACACTGCAAAAACTGCTCAAGAATTGCTTGAGGCACGCAACTTACAGGTCAAGGCATCCAAATTCCCCAGATCACAGTCTGATTGAGCATCTGTGGGATGTGCTGCACCTCATAAGCCACAGGACTCAAAGGATCCACTACTAGCACAGGATACCCCCAGAGGTCCTGTGTCCATGCCTCAACAAGTTAGAGCCAAGTCTGATGTTGTAGTGACTTTTTAACAAAACAAAATGTCTAAACAAGCCACTGAGGTGCGAATGGGTGAACTTGTTCCGGCCGCATGTTCTGGGCTAACAATAAACCAATGTCCAGTGCGTTTTATCTCTTTGGATTTGGTGATCCATTTATTCTCAAAACAATACACATACAGTACAGGCCAAAAGTTTGGACGCACCTTCTCATTCAATGCGTTTTCTTTATTTTCATGACTATTTACATTGTAGATTCTCACTGAAGGCATCAAAATTATGAATGAACACATGTGGAGTTATGTACTTAACAAAAAAAAGTGAAATAACTGAAAACACGTTTTATGTTCTAGTTTCTTCAAAATAGCCACCCCTTGCTCTGATTACTGCTTTGCACACTCTTGGCATTCTCTCCATGAGCTTCAAGAGGTAGTCACCTGAAATGGTTTCCACTTCACAGGTGTGCCTTATCAGGGTTAATTAGTGGAATTTCTTGCTTTATCAATGGGGTTGGGACCATCAGTTGTGTTGTGCAGAAGTCAGGTTAATACACAGCCGACAGCCCTATTGGACAACTGTTAAAATTCATATTATGGCAAGAACCAATCAGCTAACTAAAGAAAAACGAGTGGCCATCATTACTTTAAGAAATGAAGGTCAGTCAGTCCGGAAAATTGCAAAAACTTTAAATGTGTCCCCAAGTGGAGTCGCAAAAACCATCAAGCGCTACAACGAAACTGGCACACATGAGGACCGACCCAGGAAAGGAAGACCAAGAGTCACCTCTGCTTCTGAGGATAAGTTCATCCGAGTCACCAGCCTCAGAAATCGCAAGTTAACAGCAGCTCAGATCAGAGACCAGATGAATGCCACACAGAGTTCTAGCAGCAGACCCATCTCTAGAACAACTGTTAAGAGGAGACTGCGCCAATCAGGCCTTCATGGTCAAATAGCTGCTAGGAAACCACTGCTAAGGAGAGGCAACAAGCAGAAGAGATTTGTTTGGGCCAAGAAACACAAGGAATGGACATTAGACCAGTGGAAATCTGTGCTTTGGTCTGATGAGTCCAAATTTGAGATCTTTGGTTCCAACCGCCGTGTCTTTGTGAGACGCAGAAAAGGTGAACGGATGGATTCCACATGCCTGGTTCCCACTGTGAAGCATGGAGGAGGAGGTGTGATGGTGTGGGGGTGTTTTGCTGGTGACACTGTTGGGGATTTATTCAAAATTGAAGGCACACTGAACCAGCATGGCTACCACAGCATCCTGCAGCGACATGCCATCCCATCCGGTTTGCGTTTAGTTGGACGATCATTTATTTTTCAACAGGACAATGACCCCAAACACACCTCCAGGCTGTGTAAGGGCTATTTGACCAAGAAGGAGAGTGATGGAGTGCTGCGGCAGATGACCTGGCCTCCACAGTCACCGGACCTGAACCCAATCGAGATGGTTTGGGGTGAGCTGGACCGCAGAGTGAAGGCAAAGGGGCCAACAAGTGCTAAACACCTCTGGGAACTCCTTCAAGACTGTTGGAAAACCATTTCAGGTGACTACCTCTTGAAGCTCATGGAGAGAATGCCAAGAGTGTGCAAAGCAGTAATCAGAGCAAAGGGTGGCTATTTTGAAGAAACTAGAATATAAAACATGTTTTCAGTTATTTCACCTTTTTTTGTTAAGTACATAACTCCACATGTGTTCATTCATAGTTTTGATGCCTTCAGTGAGAATCTACAATGTAAATAGTCATGAAAATAAAGAAAACGCATTGAATGAGAAGGTGTGTCCAAACTTTTGGCCTGTACTGTATATGCTCACCAGCATTGTCCATACCATTATTCCATTCAGCAATTCAGTTTTAACACGCTACAACCATCAAGCTTTTCAACATGCTTCCACAACACGGTCAAAACTGTTAGCCTCCACATTCCACACACCAGGGGCCGTATTCACAAACATTCTGAGAATACTGTCAGAGAGCTACTAACTTAGCCTAAAAACTTTTAGTAAGGAGTCCTAGCTTAGGGGTGATTTAGGAAAGCTCTCAGAGCAACTCTGAGCAAGGAAGGGACAGAAATTCTAACCGTAGTGAGGAGGTATGGTTGACCCTGTTGCTAGGTATAATGCATTCTTTTAACAGATGTGATTGGTTGTCAGAGACACGCCCTTTTGTGAGCCTGCAAGGTGTGGACCCCCAGTGGAAATAAAATGAACTGCTGACTGTGAAAGTGTTGTCATTGGCTGCATTTCCCAGTAAAGATCGATCTTAAGACTTAAGAGCACAGTTAAGAACGTCTTAGCTAAGAAGGGTCGCAAAGTAAGCGTGTTTCCCAGATTAGTTCTTAATGCCCTTCTTAGGATCGCTCTTAAGATCACTCTCTAAGAAGCTCTTAACAGGAGCTGTCCACTACCGCAGTGCTGAAACTAAATCAATAAGCTAATCAGCGCATAAGTCACACACAGCGCTGCTACCTAACGCACTAATTCCCTGCTGCTCGTGTGTATGTGTATTCTAATAATTCTAATGAATAACTAAGACAATATATATTTGTTAATGACCTATTTTCATGACGAAAACAAGACTACAACTAAATAAGAAGTAGTCTTGGTAAGAGAATCATGACCAAATGTATTATATTTAAACAAAAATATGAAAGACAGACAAAAGGACATATTAACTTGTAGGACCTGGGCCCGTATTCCTAAAGATTCTGAGAATCCTCTCAGAGAGCTCCTAACTTAGCCTAAATATTCCTAGCAAGGAGTCTTAGCTTAGGAGTGATTCCAGAACATTTTTAGAGAACTCTGAGCAAGGAATTGACAGAAACTCTTATCTTAGTGAGGAGGTGTGGTTGACCCCGTTGCTAGGTATGACTCATCATTTCAAAAGGTGTGATTGGTTGATCCTAAAAGCTAGATAAAAATACACTTTTGGTGATAATGGGCATAGAATGGACCGTCAGATCAATAGACTTAATCATAGAATCTAATCTCTATGAAGACTGTGTAATTATAAATAATATTTTACATAAAAAGAAAATCTCCGTTAAATAAATAGTAAGCTATACTTTAAAATTATCCTACAAAATGTGTGAAAACTCAGGCCCACTTGCACAGTATTCACATACTGATAGTCATATTTATTTGCTTACATTCATTTACCATGCTGCTAATTTTTGCACTTCATCCACTTGGTATTAATGAGGGTAAAATGGCTCAGCTTTCATCAATTTCTGTGATTGCTAACCGGCCTATAAGAAGCAGTGTTGGTTGGCATTCAAATCTTCCACAAACCAAACAGCAATGGAGAAGAAAAGAAGTAGGAAACCCAACTGGACAGAGGAACAGTGTTTGCTTCTGGCTCAATTGGTCAATGAGAATAAAAGTGTTTTGAGAGGTAGATTTGGCCCCAATGTCACACTACAAGCCAAGAAGCAGGCATGGGAAAATATAGCACAACAGATAAATGCCTCCTTTCCGCTGGTTGTGCGCACAAGTGAGGAGTGCGAGAAGAGGGGGTATGTGTTGCAGTCGAAAGCAAGAGAGGAGACTGCAGCACACAAACGTGAATATTCACGCACGGGTGAGTGTTATACCACTTACTTACAACTGCTGGCAAAGTTAA